ACAGGGAGCTTTCATCTCATGTCCTGGCCCCACGCAGAAGCTCGGGACCCATGGCTTTGTACAGGAGATGGGCAAACCTTGGGCACAGGGTGGCCCCCCCTTGCCCCGCAGCCTGGCGCTGGGATGCAGGAGATGCTCCCCATTGGCGCAGGGACACAGTGATGGGGACCACCCCGAAATGCGCCCCGATGGGTGCAGGTACAGGGAGCTTTCATCTCATGTCCTGGCCCCACGCAGAAGCTCGGCACAGGTTGGGGTTGGTTTGTTTTTCAATCGTTAAGTAAATCAGTAAAATATTTGGGAGTGGAAGTTCATTTGCTGTTTGGTTACGATCTTTCAAAAATAAGGGGGAATGGGAGCATGTGAAGTTTCTGGGTGCTGCTAAAAGCAGGTGATGCCGGCTTGTCCTGGGAAGCGGTGAACCCTGCACCCCCAAATCCCTGGGGGACTGCTCATCCCCGATGCACAGAGCATCCCGGCTGCTCACACCCCGTGGGCTCTGGCTGTTGGGGTGAGGCTGCCCTGGCATCCCCCTGGGTCTGATCCTCCTCCCTCCCCTCCGCAGCAATACTTCATCCTCCTCATCATCACAGACGGGGTGATCAGCGACATGGACGAGACGAGACACGCCGTGGTGCAGGCGTCCAAGCTGCCCATGTCCATCATCATCGTGGGGGTGGGCAACGCTGACTTCGCCGCCATGGAGTTCCTGGACGGGGACAGCCGGGTGCTGCGCTCCCACACCGGCGAGGAGGCCGTGCGCGACATCGTCCAGTTCGTGCCCTTCCGGGATTTCCGCAGTGTGAGTGTGGGCAGCGGGGAGGGGAGCACAGGCAGAAATGGGGGAAGGAGGGGTCTCAAGCCTGAAAATGACCCTGCAAGCAGAGCGACCCTGGTAGAGGCAGCCAGAGGCAAGAGGTGGAGGGCTGGCACCTGCCTGCCTTACCCCAGCCCTGAACCCTGCATCCCACGGGGATGCTCTGGCATGGACTGTGGAAATCAGTGTGGCAGGCAGGGGCAACAGTGTTCTGCATATCCGTGGGGTGCCGCACCTAAGCATCCCCCCATCTCTGCCACCCTGTCATCCCTAGGCAGGTGGGAGCAGAATCCCATTAATTAGAGCCGGGTCCAGGTTCCTGCAGCAAGCTGGGGCAGCGCTGGGCTCACATCCCTCGCCGTGGTCCTGTGCCGGTGTCCCCGACTCAGGCCTCATCCGGCACCTGTGATGTGCCAAGGACTGAATTGCCCCAGCGCCAGGGGCTGAGCCCCGAGACCCCCAGTCCCCTCCCAGCACCTGCAGAAGGGGTAATGCCAGCTCTGGCCCTGCACACATCCCAACCCACCACTTGTGCATTGGAGAAAAGTTGATGAAGGAAGGAAAAAAAAAAAAAGAAAAAAAAAAAGACAAAATGAGATGCAATTCTCTGCCCATCTTGATCAGCCAGGAATGAGCCCTGGGTCGGATCCTGTTGGTGGCACAGGATTGCCAGAGGATGCAGAAAATCACCCTGCACTCATCTTCCCTCTTTTTGAACCCGTCAGTGTATTCCCATTGTACCTCCTGCTTTTTCTAACCTACCGAGGATGTTTTATTCCTCCCTACCTGGGAATTATCTCCATGGAGGGAAGGTGTAATACAGAATGTAACAATATAATCACATAATAAGGTGTATAAAATACTGGCTTCCAGTCGACTCTGGAGGGTATCAAATGAAATGCCACGGTCAGGAGTTGGGGACAGCCCTGCCACATTTGCTCAGTCAGTCCCCCACGGCTGTTCTTATGCTTTTTTGTGTTTCTTTCCTCCTGCAGGCCCCCAAGGAGACCCTGGCCAAAGCCGTGCTGGCAGAGCTGCCCCAGCAGGTCGTGCAATACTTCAAGCACCAAAACCTGCCGCCCATCAACTCGGAGCCCGCATAGAGCCCTACCAGGCTGCTCCCTCTGCATGTCGCCGAAGCCCGTGGGTCCTTCTGAAAGCGCATGTTCCACATGCTTCTAAGAGAACAGTACCCTCCCTGAAACACTTTGTACTTCTTAATTTAATTGCTAAGTTCTTAAAACTCACCCCAGAGAAGTGTCTGGGTTCATTTGTACAGTCCCCAGGTAACACTACAGGGCCAGGCCATGCCCTGGTCCCGCTCCGTTGAGTCACTTTTCAGTATTGAATGTACTTTATATAATTTCCGTGGAACAGGATACAATTTTTACAATCAAAACTGGCTTTTTCCAAGCAATGAAATGCTTAATATATTACTATAATTCAACAAACTGGTCATTGTATAGTTCATGTATCTGTGTTGTACCTGTGCCTCTGTCTTGCTCCATGTTCATTTTTATACTGTGTACATGTTCTATTTGTTATACTCAGGTTAATAAAGAAACTCAGACATTTAAAACAAGGGTATCCTAGCTGGGAAGGGCTGGGAGCACCCAGCGGTGCTGGGCGTTTGAGTCACCCCGACATGGGCTGTCCTGGTCCCCAGCGTCGTGCGCTGCTGCTTCAGCTCCAGAAATTTTTCCAAGACTGAGCACCCACAGCTGCTCTGAGCTGCTCATCAGCACCGTGCCATCTTCAGCGCTAATTGCTACTTGCTTCCGTTGTTAACTAGATTAAGGCTTTGGAAGCTGGCAGGTGGAAAGCCGAGTGTGCCGCAGGGATCACCAGCCGCACTCCCAACCCAACAGACTCGCCTGCCGTTCCCCCAGCAGCCCAAGCGCGCTCCCGGGAGAGGCTGGCGTCTCTGGGGAAAGCCTGAAGCCAGTTTGCCCATGCGTTTGCCCATGCGTGTGCTCCTGGCTGTGCTCCTTGCCACCCACCACCACCAGCAAACGCCTGGTTGTCACTGCTGCCACCGAGTCACACCGCCCCGTGCAGCCCCACAGCTCAGCCAGAGCACGGAGCCAATACCAGCAGCGAGGCTCCGAGGCAGCTCCCAGCACGGCACTGGGTGAGGCCTCATCCCTCGGGAGAGGTGGGACTGCTCCGTAAAAAATCTGCCTTGCAAAGTTCCCTGGAAAGGGGAAAAAAACAACACACACCTCCCTTGTCCAAATGGAGAAGCAGCCTTCGAAGGGCAGCT